CGCTGGGCGGCGGCGCGGCGTCTCCGGCCCGCGGGCTGGCACGACCGGGTGGCCGGCGCGGCTGGAGGAAGCGGGCGAAGCCGGTGGCACCGACGGGCGGGGTGCCGGGTACGAGGGGCTTTTTACCCGGCTGTAGCGCTTGGCAGCCTAAGGTGTATTACCCCTTGTTGCAGTGCTTGATTTGCTGCACAAATGCGTTTCGGTCTAAAATGTACGAAAACGGTACAAAAGGACAAAACTACGCATCTGCCACAAACTTGGTTATGGTGCGTGTAATATTTCCCCCCTCCCTTTAATGTTTCGTTTATATAGGATTTTATATGCTGAAATAAATATCTGACGGTTTGAGGGGGGGAATAGTTACTTCTGTGTAATGTAGATACTGTATTTTTATGCTTGTCTACCCGCTTCTTGATGGCTCAGTGCAGTAGAAGTACGCAGTGCATTAGGTCCACGTTTTGCTCCTAGTGATTTCTATACTCTTGAATAGAACCAAGAAAAGGTTTTTGATGTATGTTATGGGGCATCGTGCTGTCTGTTCTTCCATCCCAGTACTTACGCTGTATCTTGGTAAGATTAGCTTTAAATTAAATTTGGTGGCTTTTTAAAGAGTGGAAGGAATGTTTTGAGTGCTGCTTAGGAGATCTTCTCAGTGGGACTAAAAAGATGTGCTGTGGCACGGGTGAGCATTGACCTCTAGAATTACAGAAGAAAACTGGGTACTTCTGTCTGTACTTGAATCATGACTAAATACATCCTCTAATTGTTATAATCGTGAACTCCAAAGTGCAAGATCGCAAAGAGGGAAGAGCTGTGTTGGGTTTGTAGTCACTTGTATAGCTAACGTGAAGTTGCTGTCACGCAGGAAATTTATTATGGCTTTTGTCACTCCAGAGGTTTTTTTTCTTAAGTAAAATGTTTCCAAGAAAGCCTGACACAGGCCCTGCGGTGGCACATCCTGTGTTGCAAAACAGGATTCCTGGGCTTACTTCCTGGTTTCTCCTTGTGTAGATGAACATTTCAAGAGAGATCTGCTTAGCTCTGATTTCAAAATGGGAATCTGGATCTTCAGACACCTCTGAAAGTGCATGAGTGCTTGAAGGCAGGTGTGCTAAAGAGAGTGGAGAGAGCTCAGTCCTGGGCTAATTCTCTTATCCCCCAGAAAGGGAGTGCTAGCTTGAATTTACCAAAAGATACATCAAGTGACAATGGAATATAGACCTCTTGCTTACCTTCTCCCTGGAAGCTATCATACTTTCACACCAAAACTTGGACTTAATAAAGTTGTCTGTCGCAGATGGCAATTGTACAAGATGTGGAGACATATCTGCGCATCCTATCTTTAGAACTGAAAGCATGAGTGAGCATGGCACAGGGGTGCTGGAGTGGTCCAGTGGAAGCCAGCGTAAGGTCAGAAATAGGGTTTGGTTTAGAACTGAGGTGTAATGCATTATGGGCACAGCTGTGCTGTTTAAGTGGTTGAGTTTGTCCATTTGTGCCGTACAGCTTAGGTGGTCTGCCAGCTCAGTTTTTGCTAGTTGGAAGCATCTGTGCTTTTTGGGCTTTATACTGGTATGGCATAAGCATATATAGAAGAGCTCTTAAGAGTCAAAAAGGAAACTACACATTTTTACTTTAGTTTTTTTTTTTTAAATCTCAAACCTAAAAAAATAAAAACGTGTTTTCTCCTGCACTATTTCTTTTGGTGCATACAGGATTGGTTTTGATGTGCAAGAAACAATGCATCTTGAGAAGGTTTTGAGTAGAAGAATTGCTGGTTTTTGAGTGTGAGCTGGTTTATGGTGGCCTGGTAGGAATAGAAGTGCCTGGTAGTGGGAATAGGCAGAGCAGGAATGCCACTCTATCTGGTTGGCTTCAGAAGCCATGAGCTTAACGACAGTGGGTGATGGGGTCAGAATAATTCTGGTCTTCCCTCAGAGTCGCTTGAGTCTGCAGACTGGTTGGGAGCAGGGAGCATCAATGTACTCAGCTTTTCTTTGGCTGGATATGACATCATACAACTGGATGTGCCCTCTAAAATTGAGCCCACTGGCAGCATACTACTGCTAGCTTCGCATTTTGTAATTCTTGTATGGGGTATTAAGGTTTACCTCCAAGTTGATTGTCCATGATGTTACAGCAACCATAGTGGAAGCACTGAGGAAAAGCCTTGAAATATTGGAAAAATATTTTGTAAGGCTGAAATGCTTTTGTTCAGCTGTGAAATGTGAATGCCTCTGTTGTTATGCAATACTTGTCATTTCTTATAAGCTGTTTTGAAATCTGTACTTTTTTTTAACATTAGCATGCGTATTTTGATTATTTCTTTCTCCTCCTGAAATTGGGATAAGCAAAACTAGGTTACAGATTGATTAATACTAGAAAAAGGGTGTTTGTTGTTGTTTTTTTTTTTAAAAAACAGGAATGATGCAATAAGACAACTGACCTTTGCATTAAAGTAACGTGTTTTCTTGGTGCAAGGTCAGGAATTAGGTTTTGTGTTTTAGTGTATTTTTTTAATGTGCTGATAGGAACTGGCTAAAAGCACAGTGGACTGAATGCTAATGCTATGTTGTTTGCTTACTCTGTTTGCCTCTTGATAATTCAGGTTTAGCAAAGTTCTTTCTACGTGGCTTAGTTGCCTACCAGACTGTTTTGGTTTTTGTTTTTTTTTTTAGTTTAGTTGCCCGAAAAACATTGTTTTCAGATTATTTGTTGGCTACAAGAAACCTCTGTGTGGATGGATGATTTCACAAAAGAAGAAACTAATCTTCTGCGTCAACCATTTGAGTACATAGGCAGTGAGTGTAATGTATTTTAATCAACGAAGAAACCTGTCAGTAGTGATGTGCTGAAATGTTTCTTTCATTGCTTTATGCCAGTTTCGTTATTAACAGCCTGGCACATGTTCTGAACTTTATGCCTAAAAGATCTGACATCATCTTTCCATGTATATTTGATTAAATTAAAGCAGTGTGATGCAGCCTTGTCCCAGTGATGTGAGGCTAAGTATTCACTTTTAAAACTCCTGATAAAATATTCATAGTATGAGTTGATTTAACAGGGAGAAAGCAAAGGCGATTAATTCTAGCAACATATGTAGGCCAAACAAAGGAATAAACAATATTATACTAAGAATCATCGTAAATCAGGGAAGGAATAGAAGTTGCTTGTTCAGAAAAGTAAAGCAAAAGCATTGTGTACGCTTTTTATATTAAGAAAGATCAGCTTTAGTTACTTAAGCAAATACTGGGTTTCATTATCTCACCCTAAATATTGTCATGCCGTTTAATAATGCCAAACCTGATTGGACAAGATTTTGTACTAAAATTTTGCATTCTGCAAACTTGTCAGGTCAAACTTGTCATGTCAAACTTGTACCATGATTATTTCTTAACTCAGTTATGCCTGGTTGCCATTAAGACATCCTACAACATAGCTCTGTTTTGAGTCTGATGACAGAATTATGAGAAGCACAGATCACAGAGCCCTGGCCTGCAAATACACAGTTACTCTTTGGAGCCAGTTGTCCATGTGAGTGCCAGGACTCAAATGGTATGAATTTGGGTGCTAGTTTTGTTTGTCTGTTCAAACGCATTTTTTCCCTAAATATTTTTTTCAAATTTAGAAACAAGTTCTTAGTTTTGGCTACTTCTTATCTGTTTGGCAGCCTTCATTGGACTTTATATTTCCCTGTCACAAACAGGATATCCCAATAGTGCCTGTGTAATCACTGTGAGGGGATTGTCTGTCTCTCAAGTCCCTGTACAGCTGGCCATCTTGCAAGGCACTATGCCATCTGTTCCTAGTGCTGCCCACTCCGCTTCCCACGGGCCTTCCAGTGCAGAAAGAGCCTTGTTCGGAGAGCTTCAGTAGAGAACAGCTGTGCTTTAAGTGGGCTGGCTGCTAGCGGCTGAATCTAGATGGGGTTTATGTGACTGCTGCAGTTGTGTAGGACTCAACAGTTACCCTGTGCTGGGAGAAACTGTACAGTGCACCCCATCAGGTACCCACTGTCTGTGGAAGGAGTTTTTCCATGATTCTGTCATAAGATCTGTTTGAAGTTCCTGTGTCATTAGACCCAACATCTTTGTCTTGTGCAGCATTTTTCATAAAAGGCTAAGATTAGGTGTAATGTTCTCTGTAGATTTTTGTGGTGTTGGTATGGGGAGTCTTTAAGAATTGATGACTCTTCCCTTTTAACTTATGCCAGATGCTTTATGTTCTTTGCTGCCATCTTTCCCCATCTTGCTCTTCTACTACTGTGGTCATACTGCCCCAATTAACGCTTCTGGGGCAGTACATGGAGAAAGAGACAGGATTAGAAAATGATCACTACCTGCTTATGTCTATTAATCCAAGTTCACAAACATTCACTAGTTCACTGTAATGTATGTCGTCACACTTCTTGGGGCTGTCCTTTGATTCTGGCTCTGTCAAAGTGTGCCTTTCTCAAATATGCAAATGAATTCAGGACCTTTTAAATTACAGGCCTGTCTGAAATTGATGTGATTTTTCATGACATTGCTAATACTGAAAAGTGTCTTGTAAGTTACACAAACAAGTTTATACTCATAGTTCAGGCTTCTCCAGTGCAATATTGGGGATTACTGCAGAGGCCCTGGCCTGCTGTTGGTGACATTGTTACTACAGGATTGTCTTACTGTGCTTTTGATACACAAAATAAGTGATGCAGGGTTATTTACTTTTCTTAGTACTGAAGTATATAGCCACAAGACATATCTATAAAACGCTTTTCTTCTTTTCCCTAAGTAGTGAGTTTTATTATGGTAACATAAAAAGGTATTTTCTCTGTTGAAATTAAAGGATGTTTTGTAAGTCTGTGCGTCTTCAGCCTTAGGATTGGAAAGATGGGTATTTGAGTTATCGCTGGAGCACTTCCTAGCAAGTATGGCTTGTCAGACCAGGCGTGATACAAGAGCTATTGGCCTGCCAGGCCTGTTTCCCTCACAGTTGAGCAAGCCCAAACAGCATATTGCTCTTGAGCACCTGTTCAGGAGCGGATACCAAGGGGGTACCAGCTGGGGTTGCGTTAACGGGGTTGTGTTTTAACGGTTGGACTAGATGATCTTCAAGGTCGTTTCCAACCTAGTTGATTCTGTAACAGAGGGAACCCTGTGCATCACCTGTTCCCTGCTGTGGGTGAAAGTGGGTCAGCTGGGATGGTGCTGTGCTCTCCTGGCAGCTGCTTGCAATAGTCCCTTCGTCTTTCCCCCAGTCCTCCTGCCCAGCTTTTCATTGTGTTTGGCATGCATCTTGTGGTTCTTGCCTTCATGTAGATTTTGGTATGGGGTCAGGAAGAATGGCCACAGCGGTGAGGAACTCCCCTCCAGGGAAGGATTAAATGAGCTGAGAGCGTTATCATAAAATCAGGAAGACTGAGTTGGAGGATTATTATTTTCCATGGGAAGATAATATGAAGGGTAATGAACAATCTCTTCATAAATTGCAGCAAGGAAGCCTCAGGTTAAACATTTGGAAAACTTTTAATGTTTAAGGTAGTTGAGTACTAAGGTAAAATAGTTGAGGGGAGTGTGAAATTTTTGGGGCCTTAATAAGTCTGTCAGGAATGACATCAATACAGTTGATGCTGCCTCTGGAAAAGTTGGTCTTCCTCTGGTCCTTGCAATGTTTCTGTATCAGTTCAGAACATTTGGAGCAAGAACAATTGAAAACTGATTATTTTTTAGCACCAAAACCTTGAGAGTTATTGAAATGTTTCTTAGCAAGATTGGCATCAAGTCTTGTGAGACTGCTTAGTGAAGAGGAGGAACAAGAACATATGACAACTCAGGAGGATGGGTGTACAGAATATGGGAAGTTATCAGTAGAATTTGTTGGATCTGGATATGAACAGTCTGGTCACAGGAATGGCAAGAATATGAGTTGTCTGTTGATTGTGAACACAAAATTGCAAGGGTCATGTGTAGCTGCTGTAGTGGAGTATGGATCATTGCTCTAAGTTACTGAGTAGCTTTATGAACCTGTGCCATTCAGGAGATGCACCACCATCTCCTGAGATGATGGTGAGGATGGGCATCTCCTATGGAGATGCTGCAGGGACAGGCAGACCATGCAGCGGAGCCAATCCAACAGCCTGTGGCTGTCAGAACAAGTAGCTCAGCTCCCTCCTCCCAGCTGCGTTCTTGTGTCTTTCGTGCTTATCTGGCTCTTCCTTGCTTGTCCAACTGACAGAAAAATAGCCTGGCAAAAAAAGGGAAAGTTTCTGCCAATTTAATGAGCTAAATTGGTTCACTGACTTGGCATAAATGAGAGGAAAGGATGATGTGCAGGAGAGGTCAACACTTTTAGTGGCAGAGGCAGCAAGTGTTTAAGCTGTTTTATTTGTCTGCACACTGTGATCTGGTTTTTGTAACTTTGATAGCATGGAAGTGATCCACTGAAATATTTTAATTTCCTAGACATCTAATATGCTCTTCAAGTGCAAGTTTTAAGTATGTACTGGGATTCATGACAGTTCTTATGGATACTACATTAACAGAATTGACAGCTGTTTTGAAGAAAACAAACCATCATGTATATAGCTCACTTTGTACATTTAACGCTCAGTTGTTGAGCATATCTATCTTGCCCCATTACTTTCATCTTCAAATAAAACATTTGGTTATATATATATAAAAAAAAAAGTAGGGGGGATTTTCTTTTTTTTTTTCAGCAGTTACAGGCTATCAGTCCTTTCCTTTTTCTTGTAATCTCAGTGAGTCACCGTGTAGATGTTGAAGAAAAGATTGCAAAATACTTTTGTGTGCAAGGACTTCTGTGCTCTTTGAATTCCCAGAAAACAGAAAAACCTAGGAAGTAAAGACACAAGTGTTTGGTAATCTGTTAAACAGTTTGAGGGTGTAAAAGACAGAGCTCCGAATGCTAGAGCTAAATGAGCTGGAAGTTTGGTGCATTTTTTTAATACACAGAATTCTTAAAACATGAGAAGACAATAAGTGGTTTGTGGAAATTACAGGATGACAGAATAGATTACATCCTATGATTATATTACTAATCAGATTTATATTTTCAGTTACAGAATTCCAGCTAAGTAAATTGGTAAATTTTATTTACTTTGAATAGCTAGGGTTTATGTTTTGAAGAAAAGTTAGTATAAACACCTGTTTCCCAGAAGGGACATCAATAAAGAGATTTCTGTTTGGTCTCAGTGTCCAGAGAGTTTTTCTAATGATTTGACAAATGTATCTGAAGCATCAAAGACAAGTCACTTCCAACCGAAAGGTTATCTGTGTTAGATATTAAACCATGCTTCTCATGATGCCAGATTTCTGCTGAATCAGATTTGAATGTTGGTTTTGCGTTCTTGGCAGTCGTGGCTACCTGTGTATACTGATGACCCCCCGTTGTTTTAAGGATTTTTTACATTATAGTTGCACTTCAGAAGCTCTCTATTCATGAATTGGGACTATATTATGCTAGGTACTGTATATTTCAAGTATTTCCTGGATGAAAATTTTATAAATTTTCTAAAAATCCCAAATGAAAAGCGGTTTTATATATTTGAATTTTTATTTATTTATTTTAAATTCTGAGCAAGTTTAGCTTTTTCTTGAGACGTGACTCACTGTTTAGCTGTTAGTTGTGAAACCATGACTCAAACACAGAGCTAAAGAAGCTGAAGTTACGGAGTTTTCCAGAAGAAAATGAAACACAATTAGAATCATCTAAGGCTCCCAAAAGGCAAATAGGGAGCTTAGCATTATTTTTGAAGACATGACTGAGGAAAGCAGTGTGGCAATCATTACTTTTGGCTATGTGCAAGAGAGGTTTGGCTTTTGTATATAGATGGGCCTGGGAGATTGAAGGTCCCATCTGCAAAACAGCCCCTGAAATTACAAGGAGAAAATGAGAGGACAGAATGGGTTGATCAGTTACAGCAGTTGGGATTTGAAAGAAAGAAGCAAATCCCATTAGCTGTGAGTTTGGAGGTGTCCCTTGTGGCATAATTTGGGAATGATAACCAAATAAAAGAAACAGGATTACTGCTGACACTGACAAAATGGAATGTTCTTTAGTATAGACTAACATGTACTAAATTATACTTTACCTTGAAGACTAAGTGGAGTGCTTAAAAACATTTACAGATAATCTGATTTTTACCTTGTATTGTCTATTATTTTTCAGCTCATATGAGAGACTGCTTTTCCATTATATCTATGTGAAATAAGTTATCCTGAGAATTTAGCTTGATTATTATTATTTTTATCTTCATTTCAATAAAACCTATACATAAGGGGATGCAGCTGTCATTCTTTTTCCTCAGTGTCTTTATTAAAAAGAGAGGAAAAAGCCCAAACCAACCCTTACATGAAACAAGTAAGCATATTCCTCTTTCTTCTGTCTGCTGGATAGAAGGCCTGTGCTCTGGGGATCGTATGTTGTCATTCTGTCACGACAGTGTGTGAAAGTTGCTTGTGGCCTGCAGTGGTTTATGTGTTTCCTCAGAAACTTACATGTCTTCTCACTGTTGTTTTCCAGGAAACAATCAGAGTCAATGTTACGATGTTGAAAACCAATGGAGAATTTCACAAAGGACAGGTTTGTTCTGTTTTTCTGTTTATTCAGTGACTTAATATGCAGTGAAACAAAGTCTGCATATGGATGCAAATTTTGTCAGACATCAGCCAGTATGAAGTATGTTCGTCTGAGAACAGAATCGTAACATAGGACTGGGAATCATATACTGACTGTGTCTGTCTTTCTTTCAGGTTGTTTTTAATATCACCTATGTTAATGGACAGGTATATCTAAATGATTTTCCCATGAAAAGCGGGGTTGCCCACATAACATGTCAAACAGTAATATGTGAGTATTCTTTCCCCCCACCCCCACCCCCCCC